TAAAAACACTGAAAAATTCTGCTGGTTAGCTCAAAGTCTGGACAAACATCACAGAAGTTGTGAGATTTATGATCTATTTCTGAACAAATATAGAAGAATCTATTGGAAATATAAACTGTAGAAGTTCTGCTAGGACGTATAGAAAATCTTTAAATTTACAGGCAGGTTTTCTGTTATTATTTTTAGTGTTTGTAATTTGTTTTTGAGATACTGCCTTCAGATTTCTTCAGGCTCTTGAGATAACCTACTGCTTATGCTTTTCAACTCAGTATGTCCTCAGTATGCAAATTAGTAGACTGTCATTAGCATTAATTGAAATGTTATTAGGGCATCATCTAATGAGAAATCCACAATGCAGGTGTGCACTAGTAGAAATGATAGAAAATTATGAATTCTCCCTAATGTCCTTAATAAATAAATGCATTTGGAGATGTGGGGTGTTAGCTTTATTTCCTGGCCACTATGACATGATGTGGGTCATGAAAGACTACAATTACCCTGTATCACCTGTGAGGACTTCCTCAGCTTTGGCTCCTATGGACTTTGATATGTGTTAGGTTAAATGCGGTCTCGAGTACCAGCTGAAAGTGAAAAGATCAGTGCAGGCCAGAAAGAAGACCCTTTCCTAACTATCCAAGGTAGACACCCTAGAAAAATAAATTGCTTGCTTCTTCTGAGACATCCATCAGTGAATATGTCCTTAGATTTCAGTGGATTTCTAATCAGCCAGTCATTTCTTGTATTAAGAGGGTGCCTTTTTGATTTGGATCTAGTCTGGATCCACTGAATGGAGTCTATTTTGCCGCTAAGGCTGTGCCAAATTGAATACAGCACTTCTGCCTAGCACAAAGAAATCACACTAACCTCTTGGAAGTCTTTGAAATATCAGTGCAAAGGTTTCCCCCACGTATATATGTCTAATCTTCCTTCAGCTGCTTCTCTGAGGCTGGCAGGTATCATTTTGCATCCCTCAGTGAAAATGCTGTAAAGAGAATATTGAGCTGTTTTCCAGCTGTGTTTGTTTAGGTAGGAATATTTTCTTCTACTTGCAGCACAGGCAGCTATTTGGGATTGTTGTCAGTTTTCTTTTGATATAGATTCCTTGTATATAGTTCTTCTGTAAATGTTTTCAGCATTCACTGTCTTTTATCCAAAGATTTTTTTTTTAGTGTGCCTCACAGAGGGATTTTGTAGATGAGTATCTGAACTACCAAATGTAAAATTGCTTGAGATGAGAAGAACAAAATTTTTTTCAACTAAAACTACATTCATCAGCTTTGCAATGAACTCTTAGCAAAAATTTATGCAAAATTTGAAAAAAATTACTTTTTAAAATGCAGATTCTCTTTCCCCCAAAATTTTCCTCTATTTTTGATTTAATATTCAATCAAGTGCCTCTTTCTATATCCTATATAGATATATATAATAACATATAATATATTAATGTAACATTAATATTAATATCATACTAATATTAATTTTTAATATATTAATATTATATTAATATTATATTAATATATTAATGTATATAATTTATATAATAATATATTAAATATATAATAAATCACATATCATGATATATATAATGGTTATAAATGAAATGTAATTTTAAAGAAATTATAGGAATGTTTTTAGAATAGAATAGATGTTTTGCTTGGAATAAAAAGAGACATTGAGATGAATTCAGAGTTATTTTAATCTTGGTGCACTAAAACATAAATATCTTAAAATTATAGTTATGTTAGGTCAACAGAAAGAATGTGTCTGATTTTGTTTAAAACAGTTACACAGTGTTGAATGAGCTGGACACCCTGAGGTCTGTCAGATGTCTTCCTTTTGTCTTATTCTCCTTTTCTGTTAACCATTCTGTTCATACATGTTAGGAACCAACCATTTGCAGCTTTAAATTAAATAGCAAAGTATATAAAAATTAGTTAATGTCATATCATTTGTGGACTCTTATCTATAATTAAGTCATTTAAAAGCTTGTGTACATTTAATACTGTTACACTGTTAGTATATGTGTTGTATCTTCCTTATTTAAGAACATATTTCTGCCTTGGACCCTGTTGCTATTTGCTCTCCTATGAGTGGTTAGGATGATCACCCAAGTGTATAATAAGGTTGATAAGGCTCTATACACCTGAGGGAATCCTGCCTATCAGAAATGTATCTCTCTGTATTCTTATTGTCTCATTTTAGGTGGTTTGGGATGTTTTCATTTTGTCTTAAAATAGATTGCAACATCTTCCAGGCACAGCCTTTGTCTTCTGGTGTGCAGAAAACAGCAGGGCCAACCTCAAATGGAACTTCTTGGTAGCACTGCAATGTAATTATTGTTATACAGGTTTTAATATTACATGTTACATATAATTTTTTAAGGACATAATAGCATTCAAAGGTGCATCTTTTTTTTTTTAACAGTAAAAACCTGAATTGCATTCCTACAGGATAAATAAACAGTTACCTTCATTGCTCCTATGTTTTGTGACTTGTTTCATTGGGATTAGTTATTTTTTAAACTCTAATAGGTTTATCACATAAAGGTTACTTGCTTTTGTGAGATGTTGTGGCCCTTTTCACTTCTCCTATTTTGCTGACCCTGTAGCAGACATCTCTTGCTGTCTGTAGCCCCACTTAATAGCCTGAACTCACCTAGGAGTACAGAAAGGAGAGGAAGTTCTCCAATTAGGCTGTAGTGAGGCACAGAAAACAGTCAAGCAGCCTTTCCAGCTAAGCCTCAGCTCGATCTGGGTCAGAGCCCACATTTCAGTGGGGGAATACACAGGCCTCACGCCCCCACTTGTGCAGCAGCTCTCAGAAGTTTTTTGAGAGCCGGAATAGATGATGAGCAGCAGGTGAACTGCTGCTCCTGAGTCGCTGGGGAAACTTGAGTACATCTCTGATGGTCTCTGTTCCTGTTCTCAGGGAGCTGAAGGGTAGGCAGTTCCTTGCTGGAATTTAGTGTTACATTAAAAAAAAAAGCAAACAAAAGGCATAAATTTTGTGAGAGGCTAATTGGTAGAAGTAAGAGAGTACAAATGACAGAGAGACTTTTCACCAGGGGCTGCAGTGACAAGGCAAGGGGAAACAGTTATAAAATGAAAAAGAGTAGGTTTAGATTGGATGCAAGGAAGAAAAATTTTAGGATCAGGATGGTGAGACCATTGCACAAGTTGTACTAAATCATCTTTAGATGTTCATTCTAACACAAACTATTTAATTTTGACTTGGTATTTTTTTGGACTGATGTTTCTGTTTGCTTGGCCTCATGTTTATTTTTTAATCCTTTCTTTTATTATAGCTTGTTGGCTTTTACAAAAATAAAAACTGAAAAAAGTGCTTCATCCTCTTATTTGCCCATTGGACTCATCAGTGCAATTTCTTGAGGGTAAATTTTGTCATGGGAGGATGATTGCATGCTTTTCAGAACAATTTAATTTCATGTAACAATACTGTAACTCTTGCTAAATCTTGCAGAGATTCTGTAAAATATCCAAATTAAGCACAGTAACCAATCCGTGTCTGCATTTGAATAGTAGCTGACTGTACTTTATTTTGAATAATGCATTTGCACTACTTTAAAATTAGCAAAAATTATCTGAAATTAAGGTAGATTTGTCCTACTGAAGATAAAACATTTTTATTGCTAATGAAATATTGTGACATTCTACCTAATTGCTGGTATAATTTCACAAATGTGCTGAATCATGTTATCATGGGGAAAAGGGGACTCTATCTACAGAAGGTCTAGTCAAGAGGTGCCTAGTATTAAATGGAGTTAATATGCAATTTCATATCATTTGGATTTTAACCATACTACTTTTGTAGGTGGGCAAAAAAATCCTGTGATACGAAGCCTGAAATCATTTAATCAGGAATGTAAATCAGTTGTGTGGTTCAGTTACCAAATGTTCATAGAACCAGCCATAGTAGATTGTTGTTTTTTAATTACAGCTGCTCTGTAATGTTGTTGTGTCACCAGGTTCCAAGAAAGGAAATAGCATGGTATGGCAGTTTGCTATGCCAAATGACCACTGCTCCTGCCAAATAAAAATACTACCAGGAGTGGGTTCTTCTATAGGATGATAGCCACATCCCTAATTAATGAATGCCACCTTTCCCTATATGTATTTATGTTCAGATAATTTGTTTAAATAATGTTCCTACTACATGCTTTATAGCCTTCTGCCTTTTGCTACACAAATTTTAGCTTATATTGCAAACTGTGCAAGTCATTTGGCAAATGTAATTTCCATCCCTGCATACTAATCGATTTCTTCACAAACACCTGCTATCAGTTATGATAATAAAAATGCCATTCTAAATTGAAAAGGGGCCAAATGGAGCTTCCTAAGGAAATGACTTAAGTGTCTTTCAATGCCTTTAATGTAGTAATGTTCTTGTAGTGCCAACACTTTTTTCAGCATTTGCATTTTATATAATTTTTTTCTATTACATCATTTTTCTGTCTAAATGGTTCCTCATAACTGTTGCTGGGAAGTAGTTCATAGCAAGGCTGGAGAAAAATGTCTGTGTTTCCTCTCTCATGGGACTAAATCCAGCAACTCTGCATTGGGAAAATTCCTTAGCACAGACCTGATTGGAACATCTGGCCATTGTGCAAGTATAAATACTAAATGGCTGTATCCCTATAACATCACTGGGAAAACGTTGTAAAGTTGGTGAGTGCCTTGCCCTTGGACTGCATGCCAGTTTCTTCCTAAAATATAAGCCTAAATTTAGCAGCCAGATTGCAAGTAGCATTTGAATTATCCAGGGTCACTTTATGGCTTCTTCCATCCCAGGAAATAACCTTCCAGCAACAATCCTTGCCAGAACCTAATCATTTTCAGCTCTGCTGGGTCTTGTCTCAGCTCCGAAATGTCTCACTGGCATTCAGCTGTAGTGTCATCTCTCCAGACAATGTCCTCTGTGTTATTTGAAAAGAAATAACCCATTTCACTGATTTTTTTTTTCACATTTTCATTTTCTCTTAGCCCTAGCCGCCCAAGCATATGCGCTAAAGGAGGAGAATGATAGTCTCCGATGGCAGCTGGATGCTTACAGGAATGAAGTGGAGCTCCTGAAGCAGGAGAAAGGACAGCTCTTTCGAACAGAGGAAAGCCTTACGAAGGACCAGCAGCTGCAGTTCCTACAGCAGACAATGCAAGGCATGCAGCAGGTATTGCTAAGGAAGAAAAGAAAAGGTCTTCTATTTTAGACTAGTCATGCCATGGGGCTCTGCTGTACTCAAGACTATTCATTAAGGTCCTGATTTCTTTTCGGAAAATCACAGGGACTTAGATGGGGGGAAAGGGAGGAGAGTTTGGGAATATATTTAGGCATAGTCATTTTAGGAATTCATAAACTGCAAATCCATTGATCATTCAAGAAAATTCTTTATGCATTTGCTAGTTATGAGCAAATTGCTCTGTTTCTCTTCTCACTTATTCCATCTGGCCCTGGTATTGCACAGAAATGTTTTTAAAATTGTCTAATGCATCATAATCAATGCTCTGTGGTGTTTTCATTTGCACTCATCTGCATCTTTTTTTCTGCTATTGTTTGAGAATGACTGAGACATCAGCGTGTCCAGACTACTCTCCTTAACTTGCAAATTGCTAGCAACATCAGTGCTATTTCCTGAGGTGTTATCATTTATGCTGACCCATGGATGCAACCTTTTCATTCAGACAGTTTTTAAGTGGTTTAGTGCAGCAAAAAAGCTTTTTCTCTGACACCAGTCAACGAGAAACTGCACAATCTCCCTGCAGGGGCAAAGGGTGTCAGTTTATCATAATTATTATCCTTTATTTGTTAGTGTGCTGCTGACACTGTGCTGGGTGAGTCTTGGCAAGCACATCCAGACTGCTCCCACTGCGTTGTGTGACGTGTCCACTGACACATGAGCAGCCCTCACCCAGCGTGCCTGTATGCAGCATCTTCCCTGCCCAGGCACTTGTGTTCAGCTGGTAGGTGACAGACCACAAGGGCAGTGGCTCAGCACAGCGCTGGGCTGTGCTCCCAGCTGAAGTGGAGCTTCTCAGCCTGGCACTGCAGAGGTTAAGTTTGCTTCCTTCATCTGTAGCACCACTCACGCTCCTCTGTCACCCCTGGTTATTAGATTCCAGAAGGGGACAAGTTGTACCCACTTCCAGACTGTACTAAGCTGCTTTTGTATGGCAAAACCCAGGAGATATTAATTTACAAATGAGCTGCCTTGTTGGGTTAGGAATTGCAAGGCTGTCCTGGTGCCCATCGAATCCAGCAAGTCTGCCAATCCCTGCTAACACCCAATAACAGAGCACAAGGCAACCCTACACACACATATTGATTTCAACACAAGCCCCTTTAAGCCTGCAAATTTTTACAAAATCAGGGTGATTTATTGTATGGTGGAGTAATTCTGATGAAAATACTTTAAAAGTTGAAAATAAGTAATTGATAATTCAGGAATGAAATCTTTCCCAGACTTCAGAATTAAGTCATTACTCAGAAATACTTAAGGTTTCTGTATACTTTAGATAAGCTTGAGGTCTGTTCATGATCTTATCCTTATATAAATGGATACTTAAATATCACTGGTTTTAATAAATTTAACACCATATGTAAAGATTGTGCTGTATTTAATCCTGGTGCTAATTCTCCATTAAAATTAATGAAAAATAGGCATAAAATACTACTAAATAAAAATTCTGGAGCCCTAGCACCCATTTGACATTATTATAATTTTCTGTCTGGGGTCTGGATGAGGTATAATCAAGTCTGTAGAATATAAATAGATTTTTATTGAACTTCAAGCAAATGCTAATAATGCAAATCAATAACGCAGAGTTACTGACATATCTCTCTGTTCAGCTGGCCATGGACACTGCAGTCTCTGCTCCTCTGAGAGTTCCTGTGTTCGTGACAGTTTTGCTGTGAGGTTCTCAATTTTTCTAGTTTGCAATCTCAGGGTCAGACCTACTTGCTCCCAATGGGATATAATTAGAGATGGCCCAAGGAGCTGGAGAAGACACTGCAGATAATCCAGTCTGACAATATGCTGAGGAGAGCAGCAACACAGAAGCACGGGAGGTGAAGTTCAGAATATTTGGTGGGAAATTATCAGTCAGTTAAGCAGCTGGATGATGGTTTTGGATTTCAGTAATTAGCCACACTCATGACATCTCATAACCTTTGTGATTTTCATGCAGTTAATGCATGAATATGTAGAAATAAACCTTTGATTTAGGTAGACTCAGTTTTATCAGCTTGGTTTTGTCAGTGTTGAGAGATGACAACCTTAGCTGAAATCCACCAGTGTAGCAGGTGCTCAGCATCTATGGAAATCAGTCTCACTATGAAATATTAAATATATATCCAGGACTTGAGTATAAATAATTTAACAAGAAGACCTGTATTCCCTTTTATCCTTTTGTATATATTAAAATTAATTTCAGACAAGGTAAACTGAATGCCACTGAATTCCTGATCCCTTCATATATGTCAGCATTGAAAAACATATTTCTCCTTCTTCTTTTCTCCTCATTCTCCCCTATTTTTTCATACACTTCTTCTAACTCTGAAAACTAGAGAACAAGTGATTTGAACTGCAGCCTAAGAAGCAGATTTATCTGAGAAAAATTAGATGCATTTTCAGAATCAAGACATTTTTTGTAAACATATTTGGTGCCAAACAATAGCAAATAACACACCACCGATGTATTTTTAATGTACTTCTACCATCTGGATGTTTTTCAGGACTCTTCCCTGTGTTTGCAGGACTGATGAAATGAATGTTTATTTTTCTCTTCCATCACTCCCACTGATCTAAAGTAACATCAGGAAAATCACACAGATGTTTGCTTGTGAAGTGTACCTTATGGGCAGTAGTAGCAACCTCCTTATTTGCTGTGTCTAAAAAAAGAAAATCCTTTGGACTAATGACATTGAACTTAGGGGGTTTTAGTCAACTTCCTCCATAAAACTGTGTCACAGTTTAATTTCATACCCACTGTGAGATCTCAAACAAATGGAAATAATGTCTTGTATCCATGGTAACAAATGAGATACACTTTACCTGATTTTGAGATGGAAATTGAATTAACTTGTCACTGCTGCATAGGTGGTATTGCCTTCAATTTATTTCTATATGAGAACACACATACCAAGAAGATCACTTTTTGAATGGTTCTTTTTCCAGCAGTGTTTGGTATGCTCTAAAAAAAGTCTGTGATCACAAGAAAGGATGTTTTAGTTGTAACTATTTTTGCAACACTTCACAGCACAGCTGTAAGAATTTTTTTAATCTTGCCTCTCTGTCTGAAATGTTTCATCAGATACATGACTATAGGTAATGCAGAAAATATCACCTAGTAGTGTTGCTTAATGGTTGAAATCATAAGCCTCAATTTTCAGTGGGTATATAATTTCTCCAAATTTTAACCATTTAGTTTTAGCATATTGCATGTGGAATAGCAAGCAGAATTCTTTTGAAAAATATCCTCAACATAATCTTTCAGCCATTCCAAGAACAAAGCATGAAAAATATACTTTCATTGTACATTGTCCATCAAATATAATTCTTGAAGAAATGCACTTGCCACCTTTATTTGCCACCTTGCTTTGAAACCAAGGCTCAGAATTTAACAGTGAGTCTCTATTGAATTAATGATGTGGTTCCCAGATCCTTTATACAATCTGTCTGAAACTGATAGTCTTAGCAAGCCTTTGAAAAAATGTCAGTTTTCCACAAAGGAGATGACACTCATTAGGATGTGTTCGAGTAAATTTTAGATTGTTATTGGTCATCCAGGATTGTGGTTCATGAACCACTTCAGTGAAATGTTTTAAGCCTCAGGTTAATCCTGAGTCTACAGAGCACATGCCCTTTAGCATGACTCTAATTTAACAAGTTAGCTCTACCTTTTTTTGTCAGGCTTAACTGGCCAAGGTGTGGGGCCATGCTTGTACAGCTGTGCTGATTCTTGAACTGGTACATTTGCCAATGGGCTGGTAATTTTGCATGGTGCTTCACCGCATCATGTAAATGTAGGATAATGTTCTTTCCTCTCATAACTCCCCGAGCACGATGGGCTGAATTCAGCTCCTGCAGGCAAGGGTGTCATCCACAAATCCCCATTTAAACTGTGCTCCATAAATGTTATGTCCAGGAAATGTATACTAGTGCCTACAATTCTGCTATTGCACATGCTGAGATGTGCCGATTAAGAGGCACCTCATTGCCCCCATCCCCTGAGGGGCCTGAATCACTGGCTAGGCTTGGGATCATACCGTTAACACAGAGTGACAGCACAGGCTCCCCTTTGCTGGCAGGGGTGCATTAAAGCCCAGCCACGGGGTTATTGCAGCAGCAGGGGATGCGCCACAGTGCCTCTCTTAAAATTAGTGCTCAAGCTGGAAAGCCAGAACAAAGGGAACAGTCGTGTGTGGTGGGTGTAGGCCTGACAGAAGGGCTGATACACTGCTGGGAGTGCCACCAACTCAGCTCAGCATGTCTCAGCAGGAGACTGAACATATTCTGGCCCTGCTGATGACCCACATGGGTGTCACTCTGATGCAGTGTGATAAGAGTCCACTTTTGTCTTTTCTTCTTTTTCTCCCTGGACAATACCAATTTAATGTGAATTGCAATGCAGATTGTGAACCTGAGCACTCAGAAGTCAGGAGCTGCCAGAACCACTGCCTGTGCATTTTGCTTTGTATACATCAGAGACCCTTCCCCATTTGGTGCTGCAGCAGAGAGTGCACAGTCAATCATCACCTGTTCAGTACCTCTCTGTCCTTGCTGTTCAATATGCAGCTCAAGGTCTTTCTGCAAAAGCCACATTGCTCCTGACATTTCCTACATTTCCCAAACTGCAAAAGAAAAAGGAGTTTCTTTTGCAGTTTACTAATCATTTAACATGTAAAATAGATAGCACATGCATCTGAGACTGATACACCTCTTTAAAGAGCTCTGATAAATACCAGATGACTAGCAATCATAAAATCACAGAATCATTTAGGTGATAAAGGACTTTTAAGATCAGCAAATCCAACAATTAACCCAGTATTGCCCAGTCCACAACTAAGCCATGTCCCTAAGCACAGCATCTACATACCTTTTAAATACCTCCAGGGATGGTAACTCCACCACTTCCCTGGACAGCCTGTTCCAAAGCTTGACAACCCTTTTGG